AGACTGGACGGCCATTTGTCTGAAATGGTATAGGGTTTCCTGCCTGAGCAGGGGGTTGGACCAGATGACCTCCAAGGTCCCTTCCAACTTTATTATTATTATTATTATTATTATTATTATTATTATTATTATTATTATTATTATTATTATTATTATTATTATTATTATTATTATTATTATTATTATTATTATTATTATTTAGCCCCCCCCAAGTTTACAAAAACTGTTTCAGAACAATCACTGTTTCTAAGCCTAACATCAGAGGTCAGTTGCAAAGAAGTGTGGGAATATCAAGGATGCCAACCTGGATTATTGGAGAGAACCTGAAGGCCTCATAATCACAGAATAACAGAGTTAACCTGGAGGTCTTCTAGTCTAACACCCTGCTCTAGCAGGAAATTCCTATGTCATTCCGGACAAATGGCTGTCCAATCACTTCTTAAAAACTTCCAGCATTCACAACTTCTGAAGGCAAGCCATTCCGCTGATTAATTATTCTCACTGTCAGGAAGTTTCTCCTTAGTTCTAGGCTGGTCCTCTCCTTGATTAGTTTCCATCCGTTGCTTCTTGTCCTGCCTTCAGGTGCTTTGGAAAATAGCTTGACCCCCTCTTCTTTGTGGCAGCCCCTTAAATATTGGGAGACTGCTAATGTCACCGCTAGTCCTTCTTTTAATTAAACTAAAGATATGAAATTCCTGCAACTGTTCTTCAAATGTTTTAGTCTTAATAAAAGTTGTTTTATTCCTGATCTGAGCCTGACTCCTGCTTAGCTCTTTTATTAGCATGAAGGCCTCTGAGGTTGGATTTAAGATTACAGAGTTATAGAATTGGAAGGGACATTGGAGGTCTTCTAGTCTAGTCCACCCTCTGCCCAGGTAGAAATCCCTAGGTGGAAAGGAAGGAAAAATTCCTTTTGTAGGATATTCAGCATTTAATGGATTAGGATGGGGTCTCCAAATTTAGCAACTTTATGACTTGTGGACTTCAACTCCCAGAATTCCTCAGCCAGCCATAAATAAGTTGAGGCTTTTAAAAGTTGCTGATTTATCCCTTGAAAGTTCTGGCAATTTGGTTCTGTGATGCTTGGAATAAGATATTCAGTGGGAGAGCAATTTATGGCTGTACTCTAAAATTGTTGTCATTCTTTCTGTTCATCTGACTCACTCTCTCTCTGTCACTCACTTTCACACACAAACACACATACAAACTAAACAATGACTGTTGGCCTTTTTCCATAGTGTATGCTCACAAGCAAGAACCTCCTCAGTATTCTCACACATCACGGTTCCCTTCAGCGATGGTGGTCACGGATACCAGCAGCCTCAGTTCATTAACCAACATGTCTTCCAATAAACAGGTAAACAGATTTAATGTTATTGGGGAAAATTAATACAGGCAGTCCTTGACTTACCACCACAATTGGGATCAGTAATTTCAGTTGCTAAACGAGGTGGTTGTTAACTTGTTAACTCAGTCAACTGCCCAATTTTACATCTATCACTGCAGTTGTTAAGTGAATTGCATGGTCGTTAAACGAATCTGGCTTCCTCCATTGACTTTGCTTGATGGAAGTTGGCTGCGAAGGTCGCAAATGGTGATAACAATTGCCATACGCCCAAATTTTGATCACATGACCATGGGGATGCTGCAATAAGTGCAAGGACTAATTGTAAGAAGAATTTGGGTTGATCTTTTAGAGCAGTGAAAGCAAACCTTTTAGAGACCGAGTGCCCAAACCGCAACCCAAAACCCACTTCTTTATCGCAAAGTGCCAGGGGCCCATCAGCATTGTGGTGCCCTCGGGGGGGGCATGCAAAAACCAGGGGCGCAAAAATGGGCCACTGTGCTGCAAGGCGCAAAAACGGCCACCGCTGCGCCGCGGGGTGCAGATACAAGGCGCTGCACCAAGCAAGAATGGGGCAGGGCTAGTGAGTATCATGCAGGCACTAGCCCCGCCTCATTTGCAGCGTGTGCATACTCGCGGCCCCGTGCGTGCGCATGTACATGTAAAATACTTCCCCCTCCCTTTTCTTCCAGTCCGCCAATCGACAATGGTTGGTGACCTCTGCTCTACCACCTCTACTTGAGCTTGCTAGTCGGCCTCTTCACCTCCTTTGTGCTGGGCGGGGCTCCTGCTCCGGGTGGTGGTGGCAGCCTGATGGACCTGCTGCTGGCAGAGGGGGCTCTTAGTGCCGCCTCTGGCACGCGTGCCATAGGTTCGCCACCACTGTTTTAGAGAGTCATCGAGGCCACTTGGAGGCTTCTCTGTGTCCTGAGCATCACCTGAGTAATGCAAATGGATGTGGAGCCTTCTTGGAAATGCTAAAAGAACAGTGTCTACAACCCTGAGGACACAGATAAACCTCCAAGTGGCCTCAATGACTCTCTAAAACAGGGATCCCCAGCCCCTGGTTCGTGGACCGGCACCGGGCCGTGGCATGCCAGAAACCGGGCTGCGTAAACAAGCAAAGTCCCGTCCGTGGGATGCAGGCAGCAACAAAACCATGCCCCCTCCGGTACGCGGAAAAAAACTCTCTCCACGGAACCGGTCCCTGGTGCCCAAAAGGTTGGGGACCCCTGCTCTAAAAGAAGGCAAATGACCAGCTGTCTGCAAGGAGTATAAATCCTTCCATTCCCCGCCATCCAGTCAGAGCCGAAGAAGCTTCTTGGATGAGAAGCAAAACGTCTTCAAAGAAAAACAAGAAAGTCCAGCTGCCTCCTGAAAAAAGCACCTTTGGGACATCCTGGTTTTTACACTTCTTGATATTGGAGCACTTTAGCATTTCTATGAAAAATAAACCCGAGAGTCCTTTTGTGTAAACCTGTCCGCTCTTTTTTTTGTGATGAAAAATCGTTCCAGAGCAGACAAAAAAAGCCTCTTTTCTTCTATTCTTTCATTTTTTTCAAAGGCAGCTTTGCAGACTGTGGGAAATATGTGGCCTCTATCGATTGTTAGATAGTTAGAAGAGAAAACCTTGAACTTCTGAACAGATAAGCTGGCATGTGGGATTTTTTTCCCCCCTTTGAGAGACTTGTGCCAAATATCATAATAATGGGGTGTGTTCACCAATGTTTGGAATGCACTTTTGAATTCTGATACAGGTAGTCCTCAACTTACGACCACAGTTGAGCCCAACCTTTCTGTTGTTCAGTGAGTTTTGTGACCTTTCTTGCCACAGTTGTCAAGCGAAACACTGCAGTTGTTAAGTTATGGTAGTAACATGGTTGTAAAGCGGACCTGGTTTTCCAAGTGACGTTGACTCCAGGACACTGCAACTGTCCTAAGTACATGCCAGTTGCCAAGCATCCCAATTTCGATCACATGACCCTGAGGATGCTGCAATGGTCGTAAGTGTGAAAAGTAGTCATAAGTCACTTTTTCAGTGCTTGTAACTTTGGACAGTCACTAAATGAATGGTTGTAAGTTGAGGATTATCTGTACAAGTCCAGTACTGCCAGACACAGGTTAAAATTTAGGAATCCAGTGAAGAGGCCTTTGTGGACCTCTCAAACTAGGTTCTGCACAAGTGACAGAGGCTTCAGATCAATATTTTCTTGTCATTGTATCCATGGACAATATACAGGTAGTCCTCAATTTACAACCGTTACATTTAGTGACCATTTGAAGCTACAATGGCACTGAAAAAACTGACTTTCAACCGGTCCTCCTACATATGACGATTGCAGCATCCTCACAGTCAGATGATCAAAATTTGGGTACTTGGCAACCAGGGTGAATTTACAACAGTTGCAGCGTCATGGGTCATGCGAGCACCATTTGCAACCTTTCCAGCCAGCTTCCAACAAGCAAAATCAATTGGGGTAGTGACCCGCTTTATGACCGTCACAACTTAGGAACCTAACTGCCAGGCTCAATTATAGCCATAAATTAAGGATTAGAGGGAGTCCTAGACTTACAGCAGTTTGCTTAGTGACTGTTCAAAGTTACAACGACACAGAAAAAAGTGACTGATGACCATTTTTCACACTTAACGACCGTTACAGCTTTCCCATGGTCACATGATTTACATTTGGGTGCTTGCCAATTGACTCATATTTATGACAATTGCAGTGTCCTGGGGTCATGTGATTCTCTTTTGCGACCTTCTGACAAGCAAAGTCGATGGGGAAACCAGATTCACTTAACATCCGTATTACTAACTTAACAGCTCCAGTGATTCACTTAACAATCAGGGCAAGAAAAGTGGTAAAATGGGGCAAAACTCACTTAACAAATTTCTCACTTAGCAACATAAATTTTGGGCTCAATTGTGGTCGTAAGTTGAGGTTTACCCGTACGTATATATTACCCAGGATAGGAAAAATCCATATTTCTGAAAAAACTCTCAGAAGCTTTGGCCACAGTGGTGTAACTGAACCTCTGCTCATTTTTTTTTAATTCAGTTATATATATATATATATATATATATAAAGCCTTGCCCTGCCAGTCTTGATTGGATTATGGTTTCTTCCTTGCTGAAAGAAGCAACACACATTAACAACAACAACAACAAAAAGACCAGAGGTTCAGTTACACCAGTGTGACCAATGCTCCTGAGAAATTTTTTTCAGAAATGTGGATTTTCTCTACCCTGGGTATCCTGTCTCCTCCAATGCTTGGGAGAGTAGAAATGTGACTTGAATAGTAAAACTGAACATATTCTGTACGTTAAAAAGCCAAACCTCTTCCTAAGGCTCGTTATTCCCACTGGGGTTTTGGACATCAATATGGATCTGGATAGAAGTAAACATTTGTAGTTCAAGGTTGAACTATGGCAGGGGTTCCCACCCCCTGGGCTGTGGCTCACTACCAGACCGCAGTCTATTTGCAACCAGGCTGCGCGAGTGGCAGGGCAATGCGCATGCGCACACACAGCTGGACTAGCATGAATGGTGGGCTGGCATGCACTCCTGTGCTCACAGCTTGCACACTGCACCTCACACGACTGGGGGGGAGAGGGCCGCGTGAGTGGTGGGCTGGTGTGCATGCAGCTCAACTAGTCGAGCTGTATGTGCATGTGCGTGGATGCTGGTCCGCCAGTCACGTGAGTCGAGCTGCGTGCCCGCACGGGCTCACCGCTCATACGGCCTGGTTCCTCTCTCCCCCCCTCCAGCCCAGGCCACCAAGCCGCAAAGGTTGGGGACCACTGAACTATGGGGTCACTTAGCACTGATTGTGTTACCTAGTTGGGTAATGAAACGTCTGCAAGAAAACCACCAAGCTCAGAGAGCACCAAGGACTCCACAGAATACGGATATGGATATGAAGAGAGAGAGAAAAATAACATTTGGATTAGTGGTTTTAGGCACCAGTTTAGAATCTGAAAGACCCTGAGTTCTAGTCCTGCCTTAGGCACCAAGCCAGCTGGGTGACTTTGAGCCAGTCCAACTCTCTCAGCCCTAGGAAACAAGCAATGGCAAACCGCTTCTGAAAAACCTTGCCAAGCAAATCACAGGAACTCGTCCAGGCAATTGTCAGGACTCAACGCTGACTCATAGACCCCAAAATGCAGATTCTGGGTGACTTAGTAGTATATCCAGTAAATACAATATCCAATATTTTCACCCAATGGATGGAGCACTAGAAACCTCTAACCTGCCTATCTCCATCAGTCAGGCAGTCACGCGCATCCAGGCTCCAGAAGGAGCTCATTTCCTTAGAAGGCCCTGCTGATTCATCTAGCATGCATTCAACCCTAACTTTGCCCTTGATAGATGATTCTTTCTATACCACCCGTTAACTTTGATGGTGGCTTGTTGAAACAAGCCTGCCTCGATTCAGGAAGCATTTTCCTTCATCAAAACGTAGCAAGACGCGACTTGCTGCGCTTTGCTGGGGATCCTGAGTAGCAGGGAAAAAAATTCAGCTTTAAAACAGGTCATTATCTTGATGGCGGTCAACATTTGGGCATTTCTGCTTTGATGTTCACCAGATAGGCTTTCGGTCAGCTCGGAGCTAAATCTCCGCACGCAGGTTTGCAAGCTAAAAAAATAATAATGCAATAGCACAACATGGAACCGAAAGATGAAGAGGGAAAAAGAAGCAAATTCTTGTATTACAAAATGGTCCTTGGCTTACCACCATTCATTTTGTGACCGTTCAAAGTTACAAAAGCTCTGAAAAAAGGGGCCGATGACCGTTTTTCACACTCTTGATCATTGCAGCATCCCCGTGGTCATGTGATCAAAATTCAGGCGCTTGGCAACTGACTCATATTTATGACGGTTGCCGTGTCCCGGGGGTCCTGCGATCACCTTTTGTGAGCTTCCGACAAGCAAGGTCAACGGTGCGGAAGCCAGATTCATTTAATAAACATGATGCTCACTTAACCACTGCAGCGATTCACTTAACAACTG